ATAAATATTGTGACTGTGAAACGTCAGCCCTTCATATGCTAAAAATGATGTTTAATGACGTGGTAGTTCGGCCAACTTAAGTTAAAGCTCGTTATCAAGAATGTTTAGTTGTTCTTGAATATAAACCTACTCTAACCTGCACTTTATGAATAATATTTAGCTGTTAGCTTTGAGTTCCTGCTACATTTGTTCTTTTTTGTTTTTTGACCTTTGAAAATCATATCCATATGCATATTTTTAGTTCTTTGGAGTATTGTCATTTTATATATTGAATGTGCCTCTTTTAGATTGTTGAGATTATTTAGAGTAGGTTCTTGACAGATAATCTTGCAGATATGCTAATAATATATTACAGCTTTATATATTGGTTCTTCAAAGTTTTGTGCATTCATTAGTGTTTAGCTTCCAAATTTTGGAGTAGATTCTTTTATTACGGTGTTGCAGTTTAGCTAAATTATATGTGCAACATTATGCCTAGTCTGATGTGTATATGTGTTTGATTTTTTTTTTTTCCTTATGGATTTGCTTTTCTTGTTTCTGATATTCTGTTGTTAGTGTGAATAGCTTTTGACATTAGCTATTCCACAGCACATTTCATTCATTTTTATATAAAATCTTTCTTTGCAACTACAAATTTTGAATTTCAGGTTCGTCAAGAAATTTCTCCAGTCGTTTTAACTGTAATTTCATGCCTGGTCACAATTCTTCAGCATGGAGAGGTCACTATCTTATCACACACTTCAATTATAATTTGGGTCATGTGTAGTTGCTTTCTTGCTGATTTTCTTTTTGTTTACAGGGACTCAACAAGTCACTTAAAGAAAATAGTGCAATAACACTGGGGAGGCTTGCATGGGTCTGTCCAGAGCTTGTATCACCACATATGGAGCATTTTATGCAATCTTGGTGCGCTGCTTTGTCCATGTAAGTCATTGAACTTCACTTATTTATTTACCACTTATGTGCTTTCTTTAGTCATGACTTGAACCAATGAGCACCTAACAGAAATCTCCTTTTTCCTTCATTCATTACAAAAAAAAAAGTGTTTTGGAATTCAAAGATGCTTTGGCAGTTTTTGGTGCATGATAAATTTTTTGTGAATGAAATACTAGTTATTATAAAAGTTTGTTGCTCATTTCTTGCTTCCTCCTTAAATGAATTTAGTTCATGTTTTATTTACCTGTATATTTCGTAGGGGCTTGGGGATTCAAAACAAAGTGTTTTCAATTTAGGCTAATAAATTGGTTATATTGCCGTTCCCTTGGGAGTGATCATTTTCTTAGGTGGTAACTGGGATAAAGATGGAGGAGGTTTTTCTTTCAATAAAAGGAGAAGATTTGATTAGGTGGTCTAAAAGGCAGTTGAGATGGATAAATGATGTTTCCTTTGGGAAGTGTTAGATATATATTATTAGAGAATAATATAAACCATTAAAGAGGCCCTCACCCAACAGCTTAAGCTTTTGAGTTGAATTGGTTCTTTATATGGTATCAGAGCCTTGTGTCCCGGGTTCAATCCTCACTGCCCCCCAATTTCTCTTGTGGAATTTCTTAGTACAGGTAGATGAGCCTGTACATTATCCACCCTTCATGCCTAGTGGGTTCTCGTGTGAGGGGGCGTGTTAGAGATATAAAACCATTAATGTAGCCTCACCCAATAGCTTAAGCTTTTGGATTGAAATGGTTCTTTATATGGTATCAGAGCTTCGGTGTCCCTGGTTCGATCCTCGCCGCCCCCTATTTTTTTTGTGAAAATTTCTTAGCACAGTTAGGCTAAGCCAGATGCATCATCCACCTTTCAAGCCCAATGGATTCTCTTGTGAGGGGGAGTATTAGAGAATAATATAAACTATTAAAGAGGCCTTCACCCAATAGCTTAAGCTTTTGGGTTGAACCAAGCTTTTGGGTTGAATTGGTTCTTTACAAGAAGCAATGAAAATATGGTTGGGTTTGTGTTCTGTTTGTCTGAAACTTGGCGTACAGTAAGGAATGTTAGTCATGTTGAATAGACTTTCATAAAATAAAGTGCAATATACTGCAAGAATTATTAGCAGGATGGAGTAATCTTCTCCACTGTCAAATACGGACGTTGAGGATCTTCATTTGATATCTTAATATTAAAACTTTTACTTATAATTTTGCATTTGGGATCTCCTTGAGAATCTGAATGGTATTGATGCCACGAAAACATCAGACTGTGTTCAAAGAATTGACTCTCTTAAGAGCTGAAGTCCATCTGTATGCCTAAAAATGATGATCTTAGAGGATGCTTGTGAAAAAAGTTTAAACTGTGAAGGCGCTAATCACAATTTACATGCAATGATTGCATTGCATTTTGTGCCTTTTTTGAGCTAATAATTCAGCTGGCATTACATATTTATTAGCTTGTTTGTCATAAACATCCAACTTGCTTGGGTTGCTTTTGAAAACTGGTCAATGGTAGTACCTGTGGTCCTGTATTTATATATTTATTTGGAACACTCACTGAAACATATCAAGGAGGGTAAACTAATCTCTAAACATCTTCACTTTACAAATTGATCACGATTTGTTCCAACCCAGGTTATCTTGTTTATTGATTTCTCTTGAATGATTTGTGGCAGGATACGAGATGATGTTGAGAAAGAGGACGCATTTAGAGGTCTATGTGCTATGGTATGCTCCTCCAATCACTTGGTAAATTTTTACACGCAGACTTCTCAAGTAACTGTTGCTTTATGCTTATTTTCAGGTCAAAACTAATCCCTCTGGAGCTCTAAGTTCGCTTGTTTACATGTGCAAAGCCATTGCAAGTTGGCATGTATGTTTGTTATCATCTTAAAAATTTAAGTGGTTTACGGTTTCTATAATATAACTTTTTTTATTGACGTCTACAGGAAATAAAGAGTGAAGATTTACACAATGAAGTCTGCCAGGTCTTGCATGGGTATAAACAGGTTAGTCTTACTTCTCTGCTGAGCATATCTGCCTTAGGATTTAGTTATAGCTGAAATTCTTTCGTCGAGAAAATGAAACTATAAATTTACGAAGTATCACTTTTCACACACACACACACACATCCTCTGGTAGAGCTCTTCCATATGGCCCTTTGTAGGATAAAATTGGCATTAAACAGTGTTTCATTCTTTGTCTTGAATCCTAATTATCCAATGGAAATGTCTGTCAAGACAATGTGAACTTATTGGTGGGGGATTTTCCATGTAATATGCTATAGATGCTGCGCAATGGAGCGTGGGACCAGTGCATGTCTGCTTTGGAGCCGCCAATAAAAGAAAAGCTTTCAAAATATCAAGTATAAATGTGTGAGCTTTGTATCTGCATTGGCCTTGTTGGTCATTTTGTGTGTTGTCAAGCAATATTAGAGTCATGATTCATATTAAGCAGGAGCTTAGTCTCGGTCCAAGTTTTCAGTCCGGGGTATCAGCACATATACAATTCGTTTGAGCTTGATGATTACAGGCTGTTCCTCAAGCCTTCAAGATCTCATTTGATGGAGTTTCCCATGAGAAATGTACAGGGGAATGACTTTCAGCCTTTGGAAATGCTTGATTCTTTGTTGTTTTTATAGTTTAAGGCCTTGATTAAAGGCTATGAATTTTATCCAACCCTCGTGTTCATCGTCACAGTTTTCCATTATTTTTAGTTTGAGTTGATAGGTTTTGTGCCTTGGTTACACAGTTTTGTACCAACCACCAGAGAGGAGAGCGAGAGAAAGACAGAGAGAGAGAGAGAGAGAGAGAGAGAGAGAGAAATAGGGAGGGAGGGGGATATGATTTGGCAACTTGTAGTTTCCAACGTATTTAGTTACATTATTCGTAAGTTGTAACTCATTTGAAAACCGATTTCAGCTGTGTTGCCTTAGGTGGCGCATCATTTGAATTTTGATTTTTGACACAATAAATATTTAAACTTGTGTAGTGTATGCTTCATTCACCAAATTTTTACTTTCACCCAAAAGTTGTCGGTGCTCCTTAATAATAGTCAATATCTACGGATATTATAATTACAATTTGAGTTTAATTTTGATTTACTAAGTTTTTCGCCGTGACACAATGGTGTCATGTGACTCGTAGTTTATGAACTAAAATATAAGTAGTTTGATTTCTCATGCAGCTAATCATAATCAAATTTTATAGACAGTGGATTGAAATCATGTATATGATTTTATTTCGTTGATAAATTGAAGTTGAAAAGGCATTAGGTCTATTTTTTAGAACCCGAATTGAAGTCCGGTGTAATTACCTTAGGTGATTGTCATTATCTGAATGCGATATGATTATTACGTGAAATTGGAGTGAAGTTATTGTGGTAAGGGACTTTAAAAAATTGGGTGAGACTGAGGTGAGAGAAAGAGAGAAAAAGTTGAGGAGAGAGGAGAGAGAAAAAAAATTAATTTGAATGGAAGGACTATGGTAGTCTTGGAACATATTAAAAAATTCTGTGAAATTGATCACTCTGTCTGGATAATTGGCAGAGAATTTATCAAGAGGAGACATAAAATAATAATTACTATACTTGTAGTGACTTATTATTTTGAGAGTAAAAGTATTATAAAGATGTAATAATTAATTTTTTAAATATCGTTTTGAAAAAAAGGAAAGAAAAAGAAAGAGTCTCGGTTTCTGCTCAACGGAAGTAAGGACAAAACATCTTTCTAACGACGTCAAAATGCGTAGTTAATAAAGACAGTGTTAACATTTGGTTCTGGACCTTGGATGTACTCGTGTAATAACAGACTCAGCAGTTGTTCATCTGGGTGTTTGTGTTTCCTGTTTATATGATGATTCTTTTAAATTTTGGTCATTCATTTGTTATTTGATTTAGAATTGCCTTCTATTGAATATCACGAAGTACAGCTGGCAACTACTTCTTTGATGTGTTGATATTTGTCATTGTCAACAACAAGTAAGCAACTTTCAAACAATGATGACCATGCAGTTATTGTTGTATTTGATTAAGGAAAATTGGTATTGCCAGCACAAATTTGCATACATTGATAGTTCAGTGGGAGACACAAATATAATATTGAGGATTGAGAAACTGATTCTTGGCAGCTGCCGATTCTATTCTCTCCCATCTCAGTTTTCTCTTGATATGTTGTTGATGTGCCTCTGATTCTTTAGCTTCCATGTCCCTGAGACCCTTTGAATATAGAACTGGATCCATTTCTTCCAGCATCACCTTCACACTTTCTGTCTGTTGCCGAACGCTCTTGCTCCAATGCCACTTCAGGTTCTTCTCCATTCCTTCTACTATTACAGGAAATACTTCTACCATTCCTGTTGATGCCATTTTCACGAACTGCTCATTGTTCCATACATACAGTGCACGCTCGGCTACCTAAATCGTATTTATGTATCATAAAACAAAGTCAGTGTTTACCAAATCCAAAATTCAGAAAACTGACAAGTCACAATGGAATAAGAAAGACGTGAAGGGAAATAAAGCAAAGCAAACTGTGTGCTTTTCTAGCCTTGTGCTTGAGAATGAAGAAGATACCATGAAAACCTTGTTTCTTTCTTTTGGGGACAAAGCATGAGTATATATATATATATATATATATATATATATATGACATTTTGAGTAGAACAAATTATGGACATCAATAAGAGATTTACCTGGGAATTCCAACTGTTTATGCATTTTGTGATCTGGGTACACAAGGGCAAGGCCAACTTACGATATTGGTCAGGGTCTAAATTCTCCACCAGATCCTCCAACTCCCCAATTAACAAGATTTCTTTTTGACAGTTTGTGACAGGCCAGTACCTCAAAATTCCTCTAACAACAACTCCTCCAAGCATAGGCTCCTTCTGCACAAACTGTGATACGCAGTAAGCCAGTTGCCTATGGTACACTTGCATTCCCTTGGTCTTGTGCAGAGGAATGAGCACTCTCATGAGGAACAACTTGTGCTCTTCCTTCAGTGGCACGGTAAATCCATTGATTATGGTTCCCCATATCTCAAGCAATTCTGCAATACCAGGATGCTTCTCTGTCTCAAACACATAGTTCAAGAGCACATCTGTCATTGATTTCCTCATGACAGAACGATCAGAGATGAACTTAGAATATATCTTGTGATACACATTCTTTAAACTTTCACGTTCCCTTGGATCTTCAGACTGGAAAAGTGCTAGGAGCTTGAGGAGGAAAGAATGATTTATATACTCCCTCAGCATTTTTTGGTCTATGCTATTAACAAGCCTGAGTAGGATTTCATAAACTATTTGGAGATGTGACCATAAAGGTGAAAATGTGGAGATGGGGTCTTCTTCTTCAGGCAAGTCTGAGATGGAAGAAGGGTTGGTAGATGGAGGGAGTGGCCTGAAGAGATTGGCTGAGATCATGGCCACTAGAGGTCCCAGAACTTTCTCATGCACTGGCTTCTTGGAGGACTTCAATATAGATATGAGCCTTGTGAGTTGGAGCCGCTTGGAGTCTCTCTGAGCAGGAGATTCTGAAGGATCAGTGAAGGTGAAAACGAAGGTGCAATAAGAAATAGCATTGACAAGTTCTTCATTTCCTGAAGCAGGAGAAGATGGGATGGGGAAAGGTGGTTTCTCTTGTTCAAATAGGTCATGTAGTGTTTTTGAGTTTCTCTTTGGGCTGCTTGGTGATGGTGTGTTTTTCTGGCTTCCCATGTTTTCTTCCTTTGTTTCTTCTTCTCTTCTTTCTCCTTTCAACCAGGGTGGGTTGTTTGACAATGTTCTTGTTATATCTTTTCCATCCAAGAGCCAAAGAGATACAGAGAATCTGGAAATCTTCTTTTATATTCACGTTGTTTGATTACGTTCCATGCAAAAAGCCAAGAACTTTGCAAAAGAAGCGTTGGAATGTCCGATCTGTTATCAAAGCATTATAGCTTCCACATTCTTGTGTTGTGACTTGGTAATCAGACATTGGGAAGGTATCTTCATTTCATTGTTTCTGGTCCTTCCATTTGGATGTTTGCCACGTGGAATTTCCACCATATTCAATGACATAGTCCTCATCAACAGGTTGTAGTTTTATTCATTAAGGGCTTAAACAACAGACAAACCTGCTTATTAATATATTCATCTTTAGTTAGAGACACTAAGTTTTATTACGTGTCATGCATGTGACTCACCGGCCAACAGTATGGACATTTAGGTTCTGTTTGTACCTAGAGACCAGAGAGACTTGGATCATTTTCTTTTCTTTTCCTTGAGAACATGACAATGTTGTGTTTGGAAAGAAAAACACACAACAAATCTTATATAGGACCCATCATTTCAAGAGCTAAGCCAACAAATCCTAGTTGTTTGTGTCTTTCTAGCGATTTTTTTTTTTTTTTTTAAAAGGATCTTAATCCAGCATAGTGTATTAATGGCTTACAATTCTTTTCTCAAGAAAGTAGTTGATCTTGAGATTTTTCATCAAAGTAAATATTCAAGATTCAGAGCCTAGGTTTTACAAAATGGGCAGGCACTTAGCCGGAAAAAGAAAAAAGAAAAACGAAGCACACAAGTAGACAGAAAACTACACTTTGGATTTGTAGTCACAAATTGCATATATGACATAAGTGACAAAACGGACAATGACATCTGCAGTAAAAATAATTTGAAGCTCGTAAGCTTCTATGAAGTGAAGACTTGATAATTAGTTCAAAGTTCAAACACGATTTAAGAATTGCAAAGAGGTGGAACATGTCTTTTTGAGAATAATTAACCAGCATCTTTAAAAGACTTGCATTCAATTCTTACAACGCTCTTGATGATATATAAAACTAGTTCTAGGAGGCACAAATATCTGGAAGATCAGGATTAACAGAAAATCTAAACCATGTTTTCTTCTCCATATATTTCAAACAAGGCTGCAAGATAAGCCCCATCATCACAGCTGAGATGCTTATAATGAAGACCTTAAAAGAAGAAAGGGCTAAAACCACAAATATTAGTAATGATGGAAGCACACACATCAATATTGCTCCCATTGTCCCAACAGGTACTTTATAAGGCCGATAGAGAGATGGGAATTTCATCCTTAACTTAACAAATGCTACGAACTCCATAAGCATCCCAAAACAGTACAAGAAGTTTTCTGCAGCAACTATTTCTTGGAAACTCAACCATGAAAGCAAAACCACACCAGATGCAGAGAACAAAATGCCAATAAGAGGAGTCCCATAACGTGACCTTTTAGCAAAGAATTGAGGAAGCATACCCCTTTCTGCCATCCCCAGAAGTTGGAACGAGTCACTGCTCATCTCAGCCACAAACATCCCCATATTTGATAAAGCAGCTGCTGCTTGAACCCAAGATCTTAACCAAATACCTCCAATTAATTTAGCAACTTCTGCGAAGTAACCATCAGACCATAGCTCACCATTAACTGAAATAGCTCCAGTTCCTATCAGAAGAGGGAATAAATACCCAAAAACAACCAAAATAACAGCATAGAAAAGAGCTCTTGGGAGGGTTTTACCAGGATCATCCACCTCTCCTGCAAGGGTACTAACCGAGTCCCAGTAGTTCAAGTTCCAGAAAAGAGTGTTCAAGTATAAACCCCAGTTCACTTTGTTCAAATCTACCATTAACCACCTGGTTGGTTTTATTCTGGGAATTGCTATAATTCCCATAACCATGAAAGGAAGTAATGAAAATATTCCCAATAATATTGCAGCCCAACCAACTATGGTTAATCCCCTATAGTTAATGTAAGTGAGAGCTAAAGTTACAACTAGCACTGCTATTATCCTTGGAAAACCACCTCCTAAAGCTGGAATAGCTGACTTGAGGTAATCCAAAAATAAAACTGGGTACAAAGCATTGTCAATGACCCCACTAAGCCATTTCATCCAACCTTGCTGAAAACCCCAGTAAGGACCCAATGCAGATGAAACCCAAACCACATACCCACCATTCTCTGGGAACATAGTACCCATTTCTGCAGTTATAAGTGCCTCTGGAACACTCCATATGAATGGAAAAACCAAGAAACCAAGGAGAGCCAACAATGGACCAGCTGCCCTTACTGAATCTTCAACACCAAAGGGTCCTCCTGAGACCTCGTAAAAGATCAAGAAGATGAGAGGTATAATTGAAACCTTCTTTAACAGTGGAGTAGAACCTTCTCCCAGAGCTATGTATTCAGCATCACTGGACTCCATTTCAGCTCACATTTGCTATAATTCTCAGTAACTCTGCATTTGAATTATGTTAACCACTTCACCACAAGTTACCATTTTTACAAAAACATACTGATTTAATGTCTACTATTGTCTCTCATGCATGTTTTAAGAAGCAAATCAATGTCCCAAATATATATATTTTCTTTTTAAATAAACGATGGTTATCCATGCATGTTTTAAGAAGCAAATCAATGTAACACATCATACAATTGAATGAATCATAGAACAAGGTGGGTTTCTCAGGAGAGCCGAAGCCAAAACAAAAATGTTGTCACTTAAAATAAAAAGAAAATAACAATGAAAACATTGAACCTGTTTGAGGAATTAGTAAACAGCAGAAGGCATAAAAAAAGAGAAGATGTGAGATGAAAGCAGAAAGGAAGAATAAGAAGCGGTTGTGGAGTTTAGTTTAATGAGTAACTAATTACGTGTCAAAATGTGAACAAGTAAGAGTGTGACTAAGCCAAACACTTTTATTATCATGTATTGAAATTTGTGCTTGGAAAAATGCTGATTTGCAACGAAAACATTTCTTTGGTGAATATTCTACTAATTGATATGATTTGTGTCACGCCTGAACTAAAATTTATAATAATTTATGAAATTTTCATTAAATATTTCATTTTAAGAAAATAATTGAAAAACTTTTTTACACTATGCAGCAAGCAGGTGGTAAGGCGTGTGGCCTCGGTCTTCAACATTCAGATGCAAATTTATGAGCGCTGTGTCTCCATAAATACGTCACATACAAGATTAATTTTTTTAGTTTTTTATTTTTAAGAAAATACATACAAGATTAACTTAATTTCCAGTAAAAGATTCTCTCTTATTATAATTATAAATAAATGAGATTCACGACATTAACAACAACAAAAATAAATGTGAAAAAAGGCACTTTATTGAATCAAATTTTTCTTATTTCAATAGATGATGCACTTAGTCGGCAAAAAAATTACTTTAATGATTTTTAATAAAATAATTATATATTTGTTACAGTTTTAGGAATAATTACGGATCTATTGCACAATGTGATGCCTCTTTTGGACGTCAGATGTGACGCCTCATTGATGCGTCTCACCCTAAGGGGAGACGTCCCAATGGGGCGTTTCTCATGAGTGTTGACACGTGTCATATTTTTTTAAAAAAAAATAATAATTTAATCATAAAACTTCTGAAGACCATAACTTTTGACTCGAGTATCCAAATCAGGTAATTCTTTTTTTGATTCCACATAACTTTGCGAGATCTACGCGATGACATTTCATTTGACATATTTTATTTCTCACAAACACAATTTTAATTTACAAGAATGATATTATAAGAGCGGTTAAACCCAGAAGCCTCTCAGTTCTGAATTTATGATGTAATATAAAAAATAAATAAAATTTTGATTTGTGATTTAATTTTTTTTATAAATTTTTTTTATTATAAATAAAATTTGGTTTGTGATTTAAATTAAAAATAAAAATAAAAATTATTATTAATAAGGAAAACAAAATAAAGATTTGATTTGTGATTTAAACATAAAAATCAATTTGAAAAATCTGTAGAAAAGAAAATAATTAAATATTTATTTTAAATCTCTAAGGAAAAATGATATTATTTTTGAAATTAATGATTAATGCTATAAGCTTCTGGGTTATTATTCGTGGTCTAAAATTAATGATGACTTATGAATGTTTTTAAAAAATAAAATTACTTAAATTAGGCGTGATTGCCTCTTGATTGAAACCAAATTTAGACGTGATTGATGACGTATCAGGTGTTGACACGTGTCACATTTTTAAACTCAGAAGCCTCTGAGTTCTGCGTTTGTGATTTAATACAAAAAATAAATCAAGATTTGATGTGTAATTTAATTTAAAAAAATAAAATTTTTTATTTTTATTATGAAAAAAATTTGGTTTGTGATTTAAATTAAAAGTAACAAGTATTATTAATAAGGAAAACAAAATAAAGATTTGATTTGTGATTTAAACTCAAAAATAAATTTGAAAAATCTGTATTAATAAAGGAAATATTAAATAAATATTCTAAATCTCTAAGGAAGAAGGATTACCTGATTTAAATTTAAATTATGTTTTTGAGAAATAAAATATATCAAATGAGATGTCATTGCGTAAATCTCGAAAAATTATGTGGAATAAAAAAAAATTACCTGAATTTGATACCCGAGTCAAAAGTTATGGCCTTCAGAAGTTTTATGATTAAATTATTATTTTTTTTGAAAAAAATATGACACGTATCAACACCTCATAAGAGACGCCCCATAATAAAACCCAAACACTCACGTGCCAGCTTCTAAAATTTCTATTATTCACACATACCACTAAACTAATCACCATCTACAAATTACACAGGGAGATTAGTGTTTTTTTTTATATAATTTTATTGAAAATTATCTATATACATATAAAAATATACAGGTTCGGTTCCAATAATTTTATGGAAAAAATTACTCTTATGTCACATGTGATAATTTTATCTCTTACACACCATTCGATAACTGTGCCACCTTTTTCTTTTCAGATGGTGAAACTCATAAATTTATCTCTATGACATGAGATAACTTATATCCTTTAACATGAGATTAATCAAATCCTATTTTTATTCTTAACCTATCCCATATTCTGAATTAGTCTTATAGCCAGTTCAAAAATCAAAACTTGTGAAAATACTGGGATCTCAAAAAGATAATTAGGATCGAGTTAACTTCAAAAAATATATAGGGTCGATTTTTTTTTCTCTTTTCTTTTTATACAACTCCACACACTTTTATATATATATAGAAAATAAAATTATATAAAAACATTAATTCCATTACTTTACAGAGAGAAAAAAAAGAAAGATAAAGACTGGTATAATTATCCATCAAAAGATAAGATTATGCAGTAAATATTCAAATATTCAAAGAGTTAGCTGTCATCTAAAATTCCAATGGAACAATATTGTATCAATTAAGCCCGATTTTCCACTAAAACTCTTATATTTTATTCATCTACTCTTGAACAGAGCACAATTGCACAACGACCACCTTCGTACGTAGTTGGAGGTTTTGGATATAGATAATTAGATATGACAAGGGTGTCGTACACGAGCCTGAGGGACATCATGGAACACCCTAACAATGCGAGCTGGAATGAGATCCCCATCAAGAATCCGCTCTTAAAGCATGCGGCTTTGGCTTATCTGCAACCCATGTCCACTCCCCCAGAGGTTGGGCATAAAGGTTTCTTTGAAAAGTTGATGGAAGAGTGCTTCTGTGGTTGCCAAACAAGACGACAAGGGTTTGGTTGCTTCAACACCCTTTTCGAGGCTTTTGTTGGGTTGTTTTGTAAAACAAGAACAATTGAGAATAATCAAGATAATGACGATGATCAGCTGCAGCATGAAGATGATGACGACGAGGAAGGGGAAGAAAACGTTGACTGAACACAGAAGGACACTTCTACTTTTTTTGGAACTTTCGGTTTGACCAGTAGATGAAAAAGTTTTTTTTTTTTTTTTTTTAGTTCAGTAACCCATTGTAAATTGATAAAACATTAGATATTTTTCTTTTCTTTTTCTTATAACTTGTAAATAAAATTTTTTTTCGAGTTTTCTTCTATGCTGATTAATTTGAAAAGAAGTTACCATATTTTTAGAATTAGACTCGAGTACAATCTAAAACCTAACATGGAGATCCGAGGAATCGGAGATTAAAGTGAGATCAGGGGAATTAAAGTACAGGTAAATCAACATAATTCAAATTTAGAATAAAGTATTTTTTGAGTTCTTAACAAATATTATAAGATTCAATTTAATTCTTTAGGAAAAAAATTGACTAGTGATTCTATGAAATTTAAAATTGATCCATATTAGTCTTTTTAAGGGATTAATACGAGTCTTCTTTGAATTTCAGAAGAATCACAATTTCAATTAACTTAGTTTATTTTGAATTTTAGAGAAATCACAAGTTAATTTTTTTTAAGAAATTAAAATGACCTCTATAATTTTTGTTGAGGAGTCAAAAGATACTTTACTCTCAAAATTTAAAGGGCTTGGTGTTTGTCATTTTAAATGACATAAATTATGTCATCTTAGGAGAAAGATAAACACAAAAAATAAAAATCATGGGAGAGAGAAAATTGATGATATTTTTTAATTTAAAATTTAAATAAAAAAATGTATTCTGTGTCTATCTCTTTCTTAAAATGAGATAACTTTATATCATTTAAAATGACAAACATTTTTCCCAAATTTAAATCCCTAAAATTTTTTTAGTGTCAATTGAATTAAGGTTTCTTTGATTACCAAACATAGTATTGTATTATAATTGTAGTACAAGATTGGCAGAAAACAACTAGCATACAGAGGAAGCATAATGTTAGGTATATAATCTTGTTTTTAAAACATCTGGCTCATACTTTTTATTATTAATGTAGAATTATGTGAACATTTTTCCGTAGACATTTCAAACCGGGTTTATGATATTGAACGTGAAAATATTCTTCTTTTTTTTAAATTACAGAATGCCATAGGAACTTAATGATTTAACGACATTGAATGTGAAAATATCTTTAGAAAACAGAGAAAACGAAAGTGAAAAGGACGAGGTAGGGAATGAACTCGTGGAATCAGTAATCACGGCCCGCACAGCACGGTAAAGAGTCCAAAGACGGTGTTCGGTGTTATTTGCCATGTGAGAGCCATCAACTCATTGACCCAAACTGATAGTTGTTGCTACACAATGATTGATTATCCAAGTTTATTATAATTCTTAATTAGTCATGCTAACAACTCTAATAGTCTAATCATTGCTTCTGATCTTGTGTCAAGTTATCGAGACATTCTTACCCACTTAATGTTAAATTTTAACCTTGGTTCTTTGCCTATCACTCTTTTAATTAATTACTTTGTAAACCGCTTCAATTTCTAGACAGCAACTGGCCATAATTTCTGCACAAAACCCACGGATATGAAGTGTACACTTTTTCTAA